GTTGGAAACATGAATGGTCCTGAAAAGAACAGGGAGCTTACTCAAGCTATGTTCAAGGAGGTGTGAAGTAGACAACACAAGCAGGAAGGGTATACGAAACCCTTTATTTTCTATCTTTTACAGGATCTTCCGAGCTTCGGAATACAAAGACCAACCACTTGTGGTCTGAACGTAAGAATATAAAAACTATTAACTAAAAACTAACTTTGAATTAGTATACAAATGCCTAACACTAAGATTGGCTTTTATTTAAAAAAGGTACGTATGCAGTACGCCGAGCTGCTTAAACTACAATACGTTTGCAAATAACAAGAGGGCTAAACCTCTGACCTTAAAGGCAACCAGCAACAGAGTGAAAACTCGTAAAACTACAGTGGCGAGCGGCTTGCTTCCTAAAACTCCTTCTCTCTCTCTTGGCTAAAAGCCACAATTTAAGTACTTGGCGTTAGCAAGACAATTTGCATAAACAAGTTAAAGCATTTAATCCTAGCCGGAAGTAGAAAATAAGAAGTGATAGTACAGTTTTAAAATAAAATAAACGTTAGTAAAACTTAGGATACTTACAAAGTTTTGTGCGTTAAATTTATTAATTATATATCCTGTTCTTCGCACATACGACATAAAATGCAGTCAAATAGCCAAAATCACGAAATAATTAAAAATAGAATATCTTTAGAGTTTTGGATATACAGATTCGCGCGCTGGAGATAACAAAGCTTTAAGCCGTACAGTGTTGCCATTGCTCGCTTTCAAATTCTTTGAGTTTGTTAAAAATTCATTAAAGTTTCACCAAAATATGAAATATAAAATTCGGGCTTCCAGGTTCACATGTTCGGGTGGAGGACTACGTTATTCAAAATTAACCCTAGGTACTGTCGTTTATTTCACAGTGCGCGAGAAACATAGATAAATTCATGCAGAGTCTTCATTATTCAATTTCTTTAAAAAAGTAATACAGGCGAAAATATTTCGTGGCAACAATTTGAAAAGTGTTTCAGATATTTAAAGTGATATGTCGCCAAATTCCATTTTGAGACTAATGGCCCATTCAGACTAATAAAAAAATATCTAATTAAAAAAAAAAAATTCTTGTGAAAAATTAAAAATATTTATTTCCACCGAAACGTTTATTGTCATCGAGCATGGGACGAATTACCAGTATTTAATGGTCTTAATCTCTTGGCCACTGTGGGGCTGAAGCAGAGCAGAAGCATCGTGGAAGTTTTTCTTTAACCCTTTGCGGCACAGTGTGTCCGTTCTGGACACACCTAAAAATTTCCTTCTGTACGCACAGAAAAATTGAATGAAAAAGGATTTATAGGTTACTCTGAACCTTCTTTATTTATAGTAGATGGCAGCTCAACACAAACCAGTCCATATATTTTAGCCATGTTTAGTTTTTTAAAACCCTCATTTTCCAAAGAAATCTTCCAGATTTTTTTTAGGGTAGAAAAGGAATTGTTTGAAAAGAAATTTCAATGTTATTTTTTTGGCTGTAGGCTCATCTCCTTATTCTATATTAGTTTCAAATTTTTACTTTGAAATATCTTGTCTAAAATTAAACGGCGAACCCTAGGTGTGCCCAGACAGGGCTCACCGATAATCTAGGACAAATGAGAGTCTGTATTCTTTGTTTCTCCGCATCTCATCGATCAGTTCATTGACAACAATGCTCGTTTCAGCACTCTTTTCGAAGCTCTATTCAATCAGTGTGCCCACTCTGGGCACACCCACAGAATTAAAAGATAAGTGCTATCTTCACAAAATTTTACTTGTGTACTCCTCTAGGCCTAATTAGACTGCCTACTTTTTTTTTTAAATCAAAACTCCGACTTTAAAAGGTAGCGTGCCGGAAAGGGTTAACACTGTGTTGTAATGTTCTCTTCAAGCCGCCCAGACGGTATAGTGGTTAGGAGAGCCGCGGTACCAAAGGGCCCGGATTCGAACCCCGAAGAAGGCATGGATATAAAATTGTCCGTCTCTTCATAGGAGGTAACGGTGGTCGCCTATTTGGTGCCTCCACAATAAAATGGTTACCACTTCTGGCCTTAGTAGTGGCCAATGCCATTACAGGCAAGTGCCCGCCATTTGTTTATATATACGAGGGCCATCCAGGAAGTAGATTACGTTTCCGTCTGTATCCGCTAGGGGCGGGGCTAGCGCGGCCATCTTGGGGTCAGAGCGTTGCGCAGCTCAGTCTGCATCTAGCCGTGCTAGTGAGAGGTTCGTGCTGTGCTCCGTTCAGATACTGTGACGGTTTGAAATGTCTGCGTTAATTGAAATCCCGCGAGCTGCGAGGTGCGCTCAGTAATAAGGCTTTCTGACTGCAAAAAACTATAAACCGATAGAAATCTATCGGCAGCAGCTTCGTGAAGTTATGGGGACAACATTATCACTGAAGGTGGAGTGCGTCAGTGGGTCATAAGATTTCAAAATGGCCGAACCAATGTTCACTACGAAGATCGAAGTGGGAGACCCAGTGACCGCCGAACTTCTCGAAAAAGTCGATGCTAAAGTCCGTGAAAAATCGAAATTTCACAATAACGGAACTTTCTTTGAGTTTTCCACAAATTTCGCGAAGTTTGTTGCACGAAATCATCAGCGAAAAGCTTGGTTACCACAAGTTTTGCAGATGGATTCCAAAAATCTTGACAGAGGACCACAAAATCACGAATGGCTGCAGCGTTGAACTTTTTGGACGCTTACCATAAGGATGGGACTCTTTACTCGATCGCATCGTTACTGGTGACGAAACATGGGTGAAAATTGAACTGTGAAACGAAATTGCAATCAAGCAGTGGGGGCACACAAGTTCTCCCCAGAAACCCAAGAATGCTGCAAACAATGTCGGCAAGGAAGATGGCGATGTTTTTGGGACGAAAAGGTGTAATTTTGGTGGACTTCCTGGAAAGAGGCACTACAATAAACTCTCAAAGGTATTGCATACTCTCCAAAAATCAGAAGAGCAATTCAAAACAAGCGCAGAGGAATTTGAGCTCTAAGATCTTGTTGATTCACGACAACGCCCGGCCCCACACGGCAAATGTCACTCGTAAAAGTTCTTGAATCTTTTAAGGGGAGTTGTTTCCTCATCCGCCGTACAGTCCCGACCTGGCACCGAGCGACTTCCACCTATTCCCAGCAAGAAGAAGTGGCTGCTATGCAGCGTTTTTTGATGACGACGCACAGCTGCAAGAAGAGTAACGAAGTGCGCAGGCGGCCGAATTTTTCGCCAAGCTCGTACATCGCTCGATAACTGCCTAATTTGTATGGTGACTATGTAGAAAAAGTAGTATTTGAGTGTGGCTTCAGTATATAATAAATTTGTTTCTATACTTGTTTATTTTTTTTTAAAACGTAATTTACTTTCTGGAAGCCCTCGTATATGTGATATACCAGCTTTTGTCCGGAATAAAATAGATTGGTGAAGAATCATAGATGTAGTCGTAGCTTAAATTATCAGACATAAGTTTTAAAAAACGGGATCCATTTATATTAGGAGAAAATAGCAGTTACAAAATATCTTCGAGTAAATAAAAAAGATTACTAATAACTTTTTGTATGAAGTTTACTGCATCGTTACATTAAAGAAAGCCCCGATATTCCTTTGCAGTCCTTTTATAGCCTCGGGAAAGGCGGAGCTTCACCGTTTCCAGCTCGCTTTAAATATCTCAGAACAATCTATAAATGTACGTTAGAAAAGGCGGGAAAACAACTGACTACGGGTTTTAATTCTACGTACTTTCAAATAAGAGACCGTCGCCATTAAAAATGAAAAAGAACATACAGTTAGAATTTTAAGTGTATATTTGACTATGGAATTTTATTATTACATATATATATATATATATTTCTTCAAATTGCTTTAGCGGATTAATTTGTTTTCTGCTTTATTATTTTCTTCATCTGGAGGCGAGAAGTATCATTTTAAATGTGCAGACTTATATCAGAATAAAGTATATGCTCATATAGTGATTTATTCCGGAGAAAGAGAAAATATATTCTTTAGTTATTGAAGGTCAGAGGCATCGCGAAATTACAAGCTTAAAAAAGATCTGAAATCTTGAGGATTCTTAAAATCGAGATGGCGAACCATAGGACATGCTTACGTTCTGTTTAATTATATACTTCCATTTCGCATCAATTTTGGTTTCCTGTTATGATAAAATAACCTGAAACTGAAAGGTTTGTAAAGATGGATCTAAGTTTGGGAGATTTTTGTTTTTCAGATTTTCACGTTACTGAGGAAACTGTTAAGTTTGTATAAGTAAACACGAATCAATACTTTCACTATCCAGGTCACAATGTTATTATTTAATTAATTTTTCATATCACCACGGGGCGTCGGCCGCACCTTTCAGTTGAATGATTGAGTGCTATCTGATAACACATGAAAATATTAGGATTTAAAAATAGATAAAAAGAAATGAAAGTTTCCGTGGACTAGAATTATGTATTCTTAATTACAATAAATGCGTTTAAAAACGCCTAACATTTATCATAGATTCTTTAATAGAATAAAAAAGACAAAGTAATATTAAAAAAGCTGTGAATTATAACTTTAAACTACTTCAGAAATTAGTTTTTATTTGAAATCATATTATCTTTTCTGTACCATGTACAATTAGTATCAAAAGTTATTTTAGAAAATGTGTGTTTAACTCTTGAATAGCTTGAGGCAAGAAATATATTATGCATTCCCTGAAATAAAATCAAATAACAGCCAGTTTCTAAGAAAATACTGCGCGAAATTACAGTTCTATGAAAGTTCTTTAGAGTTTCGTTTCTAGAAAACATGAAAAATAGTTTTTTTCTAATAAGAACTAAGCGTATTCTAACCTGCGTGTAATTGCCAACAATATTTGGATCATTTAAGTCCTGTTCGTAGGTGAAATTGAATCGTTCTAGAAACCAAACCTTAGCATGAAAAGCTCTGTAGAATTTCGTTTCTAGAAAATATGAAAAATAGTTTTTCTAATAAAAATTAAGCGTATTCTCACCTGCGTGTAATGGCCAACAACATTTGGATCGTTTAAGTCCTGTCCGTAGGTGAAATTGAATCGTTCTAGAAACCAAACTTTAGCAGCGAAAAACCAAGGGACTTGAACATTGGCTACGAAGATATTCTGACCACACGAGCCGAAGTCTAAAATAAAAACAAAATAAAAATTTCTGTCAGAAAGTACTCAACAGAGGAATCTCACACATGATTTAAACAAAATTAAACTATTTACTTGCATCATTTCTGAAGTCCTTCCAGAAGCATAATTTAAATTTTACCCGAATTTTGTTTCTCAAAGGAAAAAAAAAAATTACTTATTTTGAATCAGTACTTACATAAGTATTGAGTGCACTATGTAAATCACAATAATCCTTATTCTAGTATTTGTCGTGATGCGAGATTTGTTCTTGACTATTACTGACTAAGTTAAATGCCTAGCAGTATGTGATTTCATTGCTTTTATAATGAATGTTTAGAAAGTTATTATTGCGCATTGTTTCTACAGACCAAAAATGTCCGTTAAAAAGCAATTTTCAAGCGTCTTATCAGACACGATAATCACTGTATATAAGAGAACATAATGGCACTAATTAATTTTGCTATTAAATATTAGTAAAATTAGTGAGCAAATTTTTGTAATGAAGTATGAAGTACAAAATTTTGGAACTACTCTGATATGTGCCCTCAAGTCGCCAAATTTCTCGCCAAATATTTTTGGCGAGAAACTTCACGCTGCCGTATTACTATCTAAATTTTTTGTCTACATTTCGAACTTTAAGCCTAAAATGTCTCCAAAAACACGGTTTTCGCACATGCAAAAACTACGTTTTGAACACACGATTTAAGCTAAAAATCCGAAACAAAAACAAAAAAATTTAGATAGCAAAAACGTAAAGTTTTCTAACCAAAAATATTTGACAAGAATCCATGTACACAGCGACATGTTTTAACTTAAAAAAAACATCTACGAATGGCACACTGTAAGCAACGAACGAATCTACGAACTACGCACACCTCGCTTTAATAAATTAACATAACAACAATTTCAAAGAATACCATGTACACAGCGTTCTGTTTCAACTTTAAAAAACATCTACGAATTGCACAATCTACACTAAAAACAAATCAAGGAAATAAACTAAAATAAATTTCAGACAATTCAAAAAACAACAATAAAAACGGAAATTCATCCAAAAAACAATGAATATAACATTCTACAAAATAAAAACAATAAAATAAAATGCACTTACCATAATGAAAGCTTCTTTTAGAAGCAGAAATATCTTTCCCCCTTAACAGAGCATACAAAGTCCAACAATACATTCGTTAATAAAATTTCGCGAGTCACACAAACGTCTGTGAACCAAAGTGAAACACGATTTTGCTATATCACATGCCATTCCTACGAATTCAAAATTTCGAAAGTAACAATAAGAACTTCCTCCAACGTTAACTTGCTACACGAAAAACCAAGATCCAAATCTTAAACTCCGCTGACACTCACATACTTTATTAGCAACAATTTTACTGGAAACCCACACAAGTCTATCAGAAACACCATTCTTCGTCCGAGTTCTCAGAGTTCTCATATCAGCTCCGCATTTCGGACACGTCAAACTCCGTTTTAAAAGTCCGACGACTCCCACAGAAATTCCAAAAATACACTACGATCCCCATAAATACATCCGTGAACAAAAGACTCGTTAACAACTCCAACATCGTATCTTTTTCATACTAAAATTACTCTGCACACAATCTAAAATACGCGGCTGAAACCTTCCCACCACGTCTTTCATAGCAACATAGGCCATTTCAAAAACACACGCGACACGAACCAACTAGCAATTTAAACTACTCCACCAAAAGACTTTTCAACGTCGACATGGTTGCCATACAACAAGCAATCGCGCCAAAAACCAGCGCAAAACACATATTGCCACATTTGGTGAAATTAGGGCGTTTATCAGAGTTGTACCAAAGACACATTTAACAAGCTTTAACATTATAATTCACTTCATGTTAATAGACCTATAGCCCACCAGTGGCCGAGTGGTAAAGTCGCCGAACACTGGTAGTTCGGTCCGAGGTTCGAATCCCACGAACGGGCTGGCTGCATGGGCGTTTTCGTGGTTTTCCCCATGTGTAACGTGTATACGAGCCAGTTTGCCTTAGAAAGACCTTCACGAAGCCATCCCTCCCCTTAGGCGAAGAGCGTTTATGTAAAGAAGGAAAGGCTCCATAGACGTAATGTAAACCAGTTTGTGTTCTACGCCGCTAGAAGAAGAGGGAAAATTCGCCAAGGGATTTGGCGACGGAACCTGTTGGCGAGAATTTCCCCCTTTGTGATGTACTGGATCTGGCCGAGATTTTCCTCATTCGTCACGTGTACAGGAGAAATTGAGGAACACGGATTAAGATGAATAAGAAAATTCGGTGAACTTTCACTGGCTGTTGAACCTGCATTATCCATATCGCAGTCTGATTTGATATCCGTCAATATGGAGGGAAAAACTGGAGTCACACAGCTTTAAACTTTTGTGACCGTCGAACGAAAATAAACGTGACCGTCGAACCTGTTCGAGCTTTGGCGCTTTTTGGTGACAGATATTTTACGCATGCGCAGCTGTTTCCCTTTTCGTTCGAAGGGAGCCATTCCTGCTGTTGCGAAGCTTTCTTTATTATTCATTTATTATTTTCTTTATTATTTATTTATGTATTGTTAACAATACATATTCTTTGCCCTTAGGCAGATAGCCCTCGAGGCTTTGCCATAATCCCACACACACATGTTAATAGACCAGTTATGATTTTGATCTTTACTGTTAATTTCTTCCTTCCGAATTCCTCACCAGAATGCAGTATTAGTAACTGAGAGTATTTAAGGTGAGGGTTTTTCAATCATGAAAGAGAGAAAGTATTTCTGGCACTTGCATATGCTGCGAGTTTTTTTTTTTTTTCCCTAGATCTATTCAAATGTGATATTCCTCTTTGGCTTTTACTTTTAACTTACGCGCCGATTTTAAGTAGTTCACGTTACTGAATGCGCAGTCTTAGATTGCCCCCCCCCAACCTGATATTGGGTAGTGATTCTGACTACTGTATCTGACATATGCATAATGTATAATTCATCTATATCTATCAATATTGTATCTGCATTACCTGTATAATCTCATAGCTTCGCATAGAAATATATAGCTTGGCAACATAGCATGCATGGTGCTGCGTACTATAATTGTGTGTATACAATAGTATAGTTTTTTTTAATCTGTTAGTATAATTGTGTTTATATAATTGTGCACAATTGTGTTATGTATCGTAGTATATAGTGTTTTATTCTGTGTTTTAATACGTTAGTATAATTTCGTTTGCATAATTGTACACCATAACTGTATTGTATATAGTAGTATAGTGTCTTATTTCGTTTGTACAATTGTGCGCAGTATAATTTCTAATATCTAATGCTTTACAAGAATAGTGTATCTGTTTTTACATTGTGTATCAATTCTGTAAGCATTATGTATATAAAAAGCGCTGCATATCTATTCAAATTAAATAAGTATTGTGTACCTGATATAATGTATTGCATAATGTATTCTACAGCATAAAGTTTCATCTGTAATTCTTATACCATCTAATAACAAAATTTAATATTCTACAGTGTGCCTGCATGCTTTATGTATGTTTATATGCGCATTTTACATGTGATCTATATGTGTCTTTAGTGTAAGTGTTTACTATATATTAGCTTAATTATGTTTCATTATAAGTATTTGTTTTACTTGTAGAAGTGTGTGCAAACTAGTATCTAATTTCTATTATTCTATAATGTGCTTTTATATGTGTTTTACAAGTGTTTTGTATGTATCTTTATATGTGCAAGTGTATGTACTTGTATGTGTATGTATATGCTGTAATTAGTGTCTAACAAACAAAGATGTAACAAATCATTCACCTATCGATCAAAACTAATGTATTCTTAAGACGCCTCTGTATGGCCATGTACAATTACCTAAAATTCTTCAATAAACTCCCGAGGTGGCCTCATGAGGCTCCTGGGAGTTGCTGCCACTAGATAGGGGAGGCCACGGGACATATGCCTGTTTACCTCTGTTAAACATCAGGCGTCCCCGTCCTCCGTCACCTGTCACCTGACTATCTTATCTTAAGTCGTCTGGAGAAGGCTCGCATGCTGTAAATGTTTAGTTCCTTTGTGGCGAGGCGAAAGTCCTCTCGTGTGGTTGGTGGTAGAAGAAGAGGAGTGGGAGACTCTCGGACCGCCCAAGGTACTCTCCATCAAAATTGGGCTGGAACTGGGCAAAATTACACTGTTCCTAATGGTGCCGACAACAGGCGCAGTTCTGTACTTCTTGCCTCATTAAATTTTGTGGGCTAATTCTGATTAGAACAGACAAGTGAGATTAGTTACAACAACGATAACAACAGTCTTCGACTACGTTTATAAGGTATTTCTCCCACTTCCCTAGCGTGCCTTCGTGGTGTAACGGTAGCACGCTGGGCCGATATTCCAGAGTCCGTGGTTCGATTACCGGCGAAGGCGGTTGCATATTTTTCATCTTTTCTGCTTCCAAAAATCCTAATGACTCTACACGTTAGCCTTCAATTAAAGTTTCTGTTATTTATTTAATTTAGTCATGAGTTTTCTTTTTCTTTTTGGCTGTAGCCAAAGTCGTGCTACTCAAACTAAATAAAAAGGTTATGTAAAACCTTCTCCTGTGTTTAAGAATATGTATAAAACGTAGCGATAACTCGCTAGCCTGTTCAGTAGGCTCTGCAAGACTTGGTTTCCACATCAATAGCAACCTTATCACATATATTTAGCCAAACCCCCAAAGTTACTTCTTATATCACTAGAGCAATCTAATAAATGTTTGGAACGGACAAAAATGAGACAACTGAGATACAAGTAGATGAAAAAAATATATATTTTCTAAAAGAAGACGTATGCACAATATATTACTAGTTATGGAGATAAATGCAAGATTGAGATTGAAGAATATAAATTGATTGGAGTTGATAAAAGGTTGCACCTTACCCTACACTATGAAAGGCCGTTTGGTATTATGACATGAAATTGTCTATTATAGACTGAGTAGATATAACTGACAACGGATAGTAAAAGCGCACAACAACATCAAAAAAGCTGTTATAGTATCCGATAGTAAGTCAGCTCTGCGAGCCTCGCAAAATCCGGCACACTCCTCCTCAATAGTCCAGGAAATTCAAAGCCTCTTACGACAGTTTAAACATCTGGAAGCCCGCCTGACATGGACGAAAGCCCATACAGGCAATATGGGAAATGAGGCAGCAGACCTCCTTGCGAAAGACGCTGCCCTAAATAAGGAAGCCGGGGAGCTAGCATTACCGTGGCCACACTCTACCTTAAAAAGAATGCTTCATCTGCAAGCACTCTCAAAGTGGCAGGCTGAGTGGGACATTGCTGAGACCGGCAGACGTACTCATTATCATCTTTTGTATGTTAATCCAGCCAGGCTCTACTCTCACCCGCACCTGGTCCGTTATGTTACAGGCCATAGACCCTTCCCGGAGTACTTTGCCAGGCACGGCACGATTGACACAGACCAGTGCAGCTGCGGTCACCTGGGTACTCCGGAGCATTACGTCACTACCTGCTCTCTGACCAACGGGATGCACATACGTATTCCCGCTACAAACACACAGGCATTCTGTAAGCTCATGGTCAAACAGAAGCACCTCTGCCGACAGTTCATCAAAATTATGGAGAAGCTAGCCAGTCTCGGCACGGACCTCTGTGCAGCAGAATAAATGACCCTGGAGTGACCATTACAGCAGGAAGTATCCTCTTTTAATGGCAACAACTGAAATACTAATCGTTAGTACTTTACAGACTATCACTACATCTTTGTCTTTATCGTAACTTGTTATTTACACAAATGCAACAGTTTTACTGCCAAGGTATACCACAATTGTTTGTAATCAACCATTCATTTTCAATATTGTACTCACGTATTTGAATTAGTGTTGTTTTAGGGGTTTTCTAGATCATGGTGGACGTGGTGCTATACTAATTAACCGTATGATAGAGGCATAGTGCCCACGTCCCCCGTTCCTTATCCTTATCCTTATCCTTAAGTAAAAGATAAACGGCAACACTGAAAGAACACAGTTTTGATTTGTGCTTTGTAAATCAGAATGCTAGATATTAGGCTCTGTATTCCTGTGATATTTTCAGTAAATGTTTCTATAAAAACTTTATTCTATTTTCCATCGAGATGACATTCGAATTGACGTCTTTATATAGACCAAACGGACTACATCATCCGCATGGTATGTGGTATATACCTTTAGTAAGTTTTAGTAGGAAATTGACAAATTTACGTAAGTTGTTTGTTACTTTCCCATGAAATGTCTCACTTTTCGAGCTTCCAGTGACATGTGTAATTTGTACATGGATATTTAACAGGAGGATTATCTTGATTACAAATATAGAGATTTTATATAGACGACAGACATACATTACATACTCCACAGATCCAGCACACAGTTCAAAGATATGATAAAATATATAAAAGAACATATAGTCCTTAGATATATAGAATAATCAATATTTCATACAGAAAGTCAGAATTAAGGTATTATTAAAATGTCCATTCGGATAAAACTGTCAATTGCTGTTGTTGTCTCACCTATAGTCACTCAGTTGTCTCAACTAACACTTGTCTCACCTATAGTCACTCAGTTGTCTCAACCAACACTTGTCTCACCTATAGTCAGCCCAAGCCCACAAAACTCCTCGTGGCAAGGAAAGCAAGTTTACGCCTGTCGTTGGCCCAGCCTTGAACACCTTACAGGTGACAGCGAGACCTAGCTCAGTTCCCCCCTCCCCAGTTTTGATGGAGAGCATCCAGGGGGACGGGTCTGAGAGTCTTCCCCCCTCTTCCTCTACTACCGAATTCTTTAGAGGACTTTCGGCTCGCCGCATATTTAAAGTGCTCCCATGTCGCACAGATACTATATACATTTACAAACATCCATGCCTTGCCCGCGATTCGAACCCGGGGTCTTAGGCACCGCAGACAGCAACGCTAAATATTATACCGGTCGGGCAGCAAAAACTGTCATACAAGTTCGAGGTCACAACTACCAATTCAAATTCGAATTTAGAGTAAATTCGGTGCCAAATTTATTCAGAGTTAACTGTTATGATTTTTTATTATTGCCCCTTTTTATTGTTCTATTTTATAGTTCATTGTCTTTGCCACTGATCCTTTTCGTCGCTAATGTTCCGTCATACGCTCAACGGAGGCATAAATTCGAAATAAAAATAAATTGTCAATTCAGTCTGATAAATCAAATAAATTGTCAATTAGTTGTCAAAGTTATATAATTTTTTAATCAAGGTTAAAAAAGTCATCTAAATTCAAACTCAAAATCGTATATTCGAAGTAAATTGTCAAAATGAAAGTAAATTCAATGCGCAATTCCTTCGAAGTTAATTGACACTATTCCTTCTCATTGTTCCTTGCCCCTAGGTACTTGTCTTGGTTTTTGTTCCTTGTCATCGCCGTTGTTCCGTTGTACTTCTTGCAAAGGCAAATAAGTTGCATATCGCGAGTTTACAGGCTAGGATTGCCTCTGAACTGCTTCTGTAGACAATATAAAATATTGAAATAGATTTACTGCTGAAACACTTGAAGTAGAATTAGATGCGACCAATCTCATTTAGATAAAAATTTATTATTGCATTGAGAGACTTTCTATTTTGATCATCAAATTTCTTTCACGCACTCAAGTATAAATATAACCTGTAGAAACTTTACGAAACTTCATTTTATACATTCGATTGTTCAGGAACAGTTTGTCAGAGAGCCAATAGTGTATCAGGATGGCAATGTTTACTGTCGAAGTCTCCTTTGCTGCACAGGAAGTTTAGGATATTTGTAAAAGGAACTTGGGATAAATCATCGATCAAATTACTCAAAGGCTACTGGTGTTGGTTACAGGTAAATATCGTCACGGAAAAAACGTCGCTGAGAAGGCAAAGCAAGGGGAAAACATTATCATAGAAAACATCGTGGGAAAAAAGAAAGCAAGGAGAAAACATCTCAGCCCTAAAATAATATCGATTTCTTTAAATTAAATTTTTTCGATATTATTACAATCATTATTATCACAACAATGTATCGCGAGTTTACAGGCTAGGATTGCCTCTGAACTGCTTCTGTAGACAATATAAAATATTGAAATAGATTTACTGCTGAAACACTTGAAGTAGAATTAGATGCGACCAATCTCATTATGAAATTTAAGAATTTCAAGCAACACAAAAAGTATTTTCGGTGAACATTTCAGTTGATTGTGAAAGTTAGCTGAAATTTACTCACCGTCAGTCCAACGACCTGTAATATTGTCGTGCAATAGTAACTGACACTGTTCTGCCCACCTCTGAGCATCTTCTGCAGCTTCGTCGTGCCATGACTAGAAAATGAAAACCAATCATGAGACGTTAACTTAATCAAATTTAACATTAAAACTATTAAAAAATTTTAAACTACTTAATACTCGTGATGAGCTAGAAAAAATCGAGCTGTACAAGATGTCTAAAGAGAGCAAGGGACAAAAACTAGAATGGAGACTTAGTATCCCAAGCACCTCACAGTATGGCTTAGAAAATAATGTCTGTCGTTTATAAAACACAGTTTTACAGTTTTTTTTAATGGCGGGCATTACAGAAGGAACAAAAACAAAATAATACATGACATTCCATAATTTAAATGATTTTGAAGTGTTCATTAAAATATGGTTTACTCTCAAAACATATTGTTGTTGTAATGACTTGTCTCACTTGCCTAACAGCAACATCAAAACAAGGCCACAAATTTTATCGTGGCAAGGAATGGAGGATTTCAACTGTCGTTTACATAGGCCTTGAGTGCCTTATTGGTGATAGTATGGCTTTAGGAAGTTCCCTCACAGTTTTGAAACAGAATCAAAGCAGGGGTCCAAGAATCTCCCACCACTCTTTCCCTACCGCCAAACCACTCGAGAGGACTTTCGATTTGCCGTGTTTTTTAAGTGCACCTATTCCACAAAGACATTATGCACTTACAAACATCCAAGCAGTCTCCCAACGATACGGCAGTCAGCAACGCTAATCACTATACCGGTGACATTCCCCCCCAAACAAAATTGACCCCTTCCCCTAAAAAAATTAATCTCCAGCGCGCGAGGTCTGTTTATCGAAAAGTTCTAAACATATGCTCATTTAAAAATTATTAAAATTATTTTTAAATTATTGCTGTTGAATTGAATTTTATGGTTTAAGTGCGAAGAACATGATATTTAATAAATAAAGGTAACACATAAAACGTTAAAAAAAGCCCTTTTGTGCGTAATGTAAATTTTATTTATTTATTTTGGTATTCATATTAAAATTCGCGTTTATACAAATATTTTGAAACAAGCCTCATTTAAAAATTCGCTTTAGAACCAAAGTTTTCATCTTTGCTAATTTTAATCAGTTGCTAATTTTTCATCTCTCCGTCTTTTTCAAATGAACCTAATGTCTCTACAGTGGCGCCCGAACTAACAGTGTGTTGCATGATGATTCTCCTCATCCAGGATTTAACGACTGGGTCCCCTGGAAAACCCCAATCGCCCTTTAAAAGGGGGATTATATAAGGTATTTCTGCCTTCCTAGCGTGCCTTCGTGGTGTAGTGGTTCTGCACGCTGGGCCGGAATTCCAGAGGTCCGTGGTTCGATTTCTGGCGAAGGTGGTTGCTAATTTTTCATCTCTCTTGCTTTAAAAAAAATCCTAATTTCTCTACAGTGGCGCCCGAACTAAAAGGTTGTTTGATGAGGATTCTCCACACCCAGGATTTGGCGATTGGATCCCCTAAAACCCCAGTCACCCTTCAAAAAGGGGAGTATATAAGGTATTTTTTCCCACTTTCCTAACGTGCTTTCGTGGTGTAGTGGTTCTGCACGCTGCGCTGTTATTCCAGAGGTCCGTTGTTCGATTCCCGGCGAAGGCGGTTGCTAATTTTTCATCTTGCCTGCTTCCAAAAAATCCTAATGTCTCTGCAAATGAATCTACAAAATGAATAATTTTCCCTCAATATCTTTTTTAAAATAGGAAAACAAAACGTTTTTTGTCTTGCAGAATTGCATTCTTTGGTCAAGCTTGTTTTCATTGAAAGCACAGATTCTTCATGAAATATAACTTTTCTATTGACAACACTTGAAAATGCGATAGCCACGAAATTTTGAAATTTCTATATCAGAGCCAGCTTACCTCGCAGATCTTGATCAACTCTTGAGTAAACGTTTCTTTCAGCTTTTCTTGCCTTTCAGGGCTCAATGATGTCTGCCGTCTTCTAGGACATTTCTATGGATATTTTGAGAAGTTATGCTTCGGACTTATCTTAGTTCGAGTGATGTTGAGTCGAGCAAATGTATGGGTTTAAAACTCTTTTCTAAACTGTATTTGCAGTTTAACTACTACATGTGACCCTTTAATATACACTTCCTTCCACTAAGATCACGACACCACACAAATAATTACATACATTACGCCTCTCTTAAAGAACGATTAGGGTGAGGAAAGAGATTCAGTTGATCAAATCCAAGTGGAAATTGGTCCACCATATTTTAATACGGGAGTCATTGGCGAGACCGCTTGGGTTACAGCCGACATCGCGGCAAAAACATCGTGGACGAAAACGTCGCGGAGAAAACAACGCAAGGCGAAAACGTCGTGCTACAAAACATCGTGGGAGAAAACATCGCAGTCCTAAAACATCGTGGTACAAAACATCGTCGTGGAAAATAAAGCGATTCAAAAACTTCGCAATTTAAAAACGTCGTCGTCGAAAATATCGTGGTAAAAAATAAAGTATCTACAAATCATCGCATGACGATAACATCGCAGACATGCGTTAATAATTGTAAATGGATATCCCCATAATGATTTGTGAGTGCAAGATATAAAGAAGGATAATTTTTGTTTTCACATTTTTTTATGAACTAATAAATTTTTCTGAAAAAGTAAGAAGGAAACTTAAGCATAGCAAATTAATGCAACTTATAGCACTTAATAGAATTTTAAACCGACATAGTTAACTAACAAAGGCCATTAATAAATCCTTTTTTATAAAGTTTTTACTGGTAATTTTCCATGAAACGTATAAGCTATAAGTTGCATTTAATTTTCTATGTTTAAGTTTCCTTGTTACTTTTTCAGCAAAAATTTATTAGTTAACAAAAAATGTGAAAGTAAAAATTATCCTTCTTTACATTTTGCCCTCACAAATCATTATGGGAATATTCATTTACAGTTATTAAAGCATGTTTTGAAAAAAGCATATCTGCGATGTTATCGTCATGCGATGATTTGTAGATACTTTATTTTTTACCACGATATTTTCGACGACGATGTTTTTAAACTGCGAAGTTTTTGAAGCGCTTTATTTTCGACGACGATGTTTTTTACCACGTTTTAGGACTGCGATGTTTTCTCCCACGATGTTTTATAGCACGACGTTTTCGCCTTGCGTTGTTTTCTCCGCGATGTTTTTGCTGCGATGTTATCGGCGGACACCGACCGCTTGACATTTCGAACCAGGAAATGTTAAAAAAAAAAAAAAAAAAAAAAAGTGTGGTCTTCTGAAGCTTCGAACTACGGATCTTTCATCTGCTAGTTCATATGCAAACGACTTGAACTCGAACACCACTACAGGAGCTCCCGATCTAAGGCGTTAGCCTGGCGGGATGATACTCCTGCAGTGGAAGTTATCAGATCAGCGGCATTTATTGAAAAGTTTTGCAAATATATACAGCAAGTTACATTTTATTGTTACATTGCATATGTGCACTACGTGCTGCCTTACAATCAATTTTGTCAGAATATTTTTTCCAAACATGTTCACAGTTGCATAATAATACTAGGATACAGAACATACGATACAATAATACAGTATAGCTACACATCACAATTTTGATAAATAATATAACTTAATGTACTACAATACTGTCCTTTAACGCAGTAATATAGCTTATTTAACAATTTTCTGATGTTACATATATTAAACATATTACATAAAAATACAATGCTCTATAATATAATTCTGCGGTAATATTTACCGACAATTTACAATAATAATACAATAATAATAAAATCAGGATCCATATATCTTTTCATAGTAAAATCCTTGTCATAGTCAATATTCATAAAGTAAATTGTCATTTAGTCATTGTAAATAGATATAGAGATATATCGTATTGGTGTTGCGACAATATATCAGTTGTTCAAAAGTCATGTTATATTGTCAGGTAGCAAAGAGTCATTGTCATAGTCAGTTAATAGTAATTAAATTGGTATATTTACAATATTCAACAATTAGTCATTGTCAATACTCCATGTCATAGTCAATAGTCATGAAGTATGTTTTCATTATATCATAATCGATAGGCATAGTCAGTCAATAGTCATAAAATTAGTATATTTACAATATTCAACTATTAGTCCTTTTCATAGTTATTAGTCCTTGTCATAGTTATTAGTCCTTGTCATAGTTATTAGTCCGTGTCATAGTCAATAGTCATGAAGTGTGTTTTCATTATATCATAATCAACAGCTATATCATTTTGTCATTTTAACAATATATCAGTAGTAATCCAATTGTTCAAAATTAAAAATACGCAAACGACTTGAGCACGCAGAGGATACGCGATAATTTCTTGTATTATTTACCACTTAAAAGATTAACTGAGGAATCCAGGCGGTCACAATTGTTCGCCACATTTTAATTCAGACATCACTGTAGAAGTTATTTAGATTTTCATACGTCGAAACATGAAAAATAAACTGCTCTTTCATCGGGAATCGAGCCACGACTCTTGCATTTGTTAAATGGATATGCCGATCACTTACACTCCGACAAACTTTTACGTTCCTCAGTTCAAAGTAATATAGTAATTCTTCACAAGTTCTCTACTGTATGAGAATAAGTGAGGATTCAAAAACGAAGAACTCCTTGGTAGTTTACTAAGGACAATGTAACGATTTTGAAATCAGTCTGAACGATGATGCACGGGGTTATTCATAAAAAAAAAGGCTATGAAAGCTGGAGGGTAATGGGTTTAGTTCCACGAAAATAATCTCGAAATGCTGTAATTAGTATATGAGCCAGAAAAAGAATTGCAAATGTATTTCATACAAGTTCAGTACATGATAATTTTATTTGTCTTATTTATTTCGTTAAGGAACGTTAATTAGTGTAACCTTCTTTTCTAATGGAAATAATTTCGTATTAAAATGATTTAATGCAGATCGAAAGAGAGATATTACCTCCAACTTTATTAGAGAAAAATTATCCTTAGCAACCGTACTAATTCATTTTACTATGAATCGAGTAAAACAGACACTTGGTATATTAAAGGATATATATAAAGGATAAAAATAAAATTTTAAAAGAGG